CTTGTGGTAGATCCCACCATGGAGCCGATTGTCAGTCTCATCATAGGAAATAACTACCACAGCTTCCCAGCCACTCAACCAGGCCCAGCCAAGTTGACATACAAAATGAACTACCACACTGACTACGCAAAAGCATTCAACTGTGTGGATCATAACAAATTGTGGATAACATTGAGAAGCATGGGAATTCCAGAACACTTAACTTGCTCTTGAGGAACCTGTACGTAGACCAATAGGCTCTCATTCAAACAGAACAAGGAGATACTGCATGTATTAAAATCAGAAAGGGAGTGAGTCAGAGTTGTATCCATTCACCATACTTACTCAATCTGCATGCTGAGCAAATAATATGAGAAGCTGCACTATATGAAGAATGCAGCATCAGGATTGGAGGAAGATTCATTAACAACCTGCAATACACAGGCAACGTAAACTTGCTTGCTGAAAGTGAAGATGAGTTGAAGCACTTAGTGATGAAGAATAAAGACTGCAGACTGCAGTATGGATTACACCTCAATCTAAAGAAAGGAAAAATCCTCACAACTAGACCAATAACCAGCATCGTGATAAATGGAGAAAAGATTGAATTTGCAAACATTTCATATTACTTCATATCACAATCAACAACAAAGGAAGCAGCAGTCAAAAAATCAGACGTCATATTGCACTGGGCAAATCAGCTGCAAAAGACCTTTTTCAAGTGATGAAGAGCAAAGATATCACTTGGAAGACTAAGGTTTACCTAACCCAAGCCATGGTATTTTCAATAACCTTATATGCCTGTGAAAACTGGACAACAAATAAGGAAGACTAAAGAAGAGTTGATGCTTTTGAGTTGTGGTGTTGGCGAAGAATACTCAAAGTACCATAGACTGCCAGAAGAACGAACAAATCTGTCCCAAAAGAAGTACATCTAGCATGTTCCTTGGAAGAAAGAATGGCCAAAATTTGTCTCACCTACTTTGGTCATGTTGTCAGAAGAGACCATACCCTGGAGAAGGATAGCATGCTTGGTAGAGTGGGGGGTAATCGATAAAGGGGAAGACCCTCAACAAGACGGATTGATTGACATAATGGCTGCAACAATGGGCTCAGGTAAAGCAAGGATTGTGAGGCTGACATAGGACTGGGCTGTGTTTCATTCTGTTGTACGTAGGGCTGCTATGAGTTGGAGCCAACTCAATAGCACCTAACAACAACAACCCCTTTAGCCATCAACTTTTGAGTTCCAGATCTACATTACCAACTGCTACCAGACCCCACTCCTTCAATGTCTGACCAACTCCCAAATTCAGAGGAGCATATCCTGAAAGCAATGATGTTTTCCTCCAAGATAAATGATGTTTTCCTCCAAGATTTGCTCCTTTTCTTCTGTAATCAATCTCAGTAAATGATACCATACTTCACCCAGGTCCTCAAGTCATACACTTGACAACTTTTCCTCCTTTATCTTTCTTAGTTAATTATTTTTTAAATTCCTATTCTTTTTCCTTCATAATTTTTTCTTGAATTCATCTACTTCACACCATTGTCTCCTCTGGCTACTACAATAATATCCTTGCTGGCTTTTTCAAAACCACCGTCAATGCCCCCAAGGCCTTCTAAGTTCCCTTCTCTAACAAGACACTCTGCTTCTTCTTGGCAGTTCCTACAGTGATGTAATTCACCAATTAATTACATTAATCCTATCTTTAAAGTCAGGATGTACATCAGGACTGCAAGTTCTGCAAGGGTGGAGCTCCAGGATGTCTCATTCATTCGTCTGGTTGGGTACCTAGCCACATACATGCCCATTGGTGAAAGAGTGAACATATTTTCCTGGTTCCTTCCATACCTAAATCCAGTCTACCCCCCATGGCTCAGCTCCCATGTTTGCTCCTCTCTGTATTCTTTCAAGCTACTGCCATTACTCACCATGTACTGCCTTGCATCATCATGTGCTATCTCTGGATATTCACATCTTCCACAGAGAATATAAGCTCTAAAGGACAAAAACAATAAATTACACATAAAAGTTCTCTGAACTGTCAACGTTATAAACTATGTTCCGAAATAATCTTCACACCGATTTTTGCATTCCCTGATGTATTTAGCACACAAACAAAATTAAAAGCATATTAAGCTGAATGAAAGTTTACAAGTAAATTTTAATATGTCTTTAATAACTGTCTTACTGATTCAAAACAATCAGTAGCTAAAAAGCCTGAAAACTTAGGTATTACCTATCTCCAATTTTTTAAGGTAGGAGGAAAAATCATTTTCCCTCTCCATACTCTAATGTCTTTTATTGTAAAATAATGTAGGCATGTATCAAAGAAAAAAGTCACAATGAGACTAGTATTCAGATTCAAACATAACTATAACTTGTAAATCCAGGTTATCATTCTCAGTTCTTCCCATAGAAGACTGTTACGAACATAAATGACCTTCTGAACAGGTGAATGCCAGCAAAATGCTTTTAAAAACTCAGACAGTAAGTATTAAAAGCTTACATATACTTCTATATGTAGAAACATATCTTCCTAAAGTCTTTTTAGCTAAGCTTTTACCAATAGACTTAAGCAGACTTTCAAAGGGCTCCTGAAAATAACTTTATGATTTAGCTGTATCTATCACTGTATTAAATAAATAGTAATCCCTACCCCCCCTAAAAAAAAGCCTAAACCCATTGCCTTCGAGTCAAATTCCAACTCACAGAGGCCCTATAGGACAGAGTAGAATTTCCCCGTTGGGTTTCCAAGGCTACAAATCTTTACAAAAGCAGATTGCCACATCTTTCACTGCAGAGCAGTTGGTACACTGGAACTGCAGCTGAGCGTTTATCATTGTGCCACCAGGACTCCTTGAATAAACAGTAGGCTCCAAACAGTATGATTAATGGTTATTATTCAGTTCAATGTCCTATGATCAACTGGGACCCAGACGGCTAATCTTGCCACCACAAGCTACTTACTGCCACAAAACCAAAACCAAAGTCACTGTCGTGCAGTCGATCCCGACTCATAATGACCCCTCCTTGGGTTTCCGAGGCAGTATCTACAGAAGTAGATTGCCCAGTTTTCCTTCCATGGAGTGGCTAGTGGGTTTGAATGCCAGTCTTCTTGTTAGCAGTCAAATGCCTTAGGTACTACACCACATATATGATGCTTAAGGCCTCCACACTCTGGACCCCGGTTTATCCTTCAGGTTTATCCTCCATTACTTATCCACAGAGACTTTACTGCCACGCATTTTCCCACCTGCCTAACATGCCAAGTACTATCAGTCAGCTGGTCTGTGGCTCATGTTCTAAAATCCCCTGACATCGTTGCCCAGTGATTTCCTACCCATCTACTTATCTCAAATACCACCTCCGCCGTGAAGCCTTTGCGGGTTGTTCCTCCTCTAGACTTCCATTGCTTAGTCTCTACTTACTTCTTTTAAACTAACCTGACACTGCCTCATATTATAGCCGTGTGTGCATATGTCTAATCCCTCTACTAGATTACTAGCTCCTTGATGACATGGGTTGATTCAGTCATTTCTCTCTTTCAAAGGCTCTGGCAGAGCATCCTATCCACAGTCAAGTCAGTAAATATGTATCATCTCAACAAGAGGATGTTTCTGTGTTGTTCCTGAACATTTCTTTCCATGTGCATCCACAACAAATGTGCATTAGCAAAATCAAGCAGAAAGCAGGCCTTTTCACTGATTGACGCAACAATCAATGAGCACAGTCCCAGGCCCAGGGGACTCAAAGATGACAGACACACACCCTGCAGGGCTCAAGGACCTCAGAATCCTGTGTGAATTGTTTTAAAAAAAAAAAAAAAATACAATTTGAACTCAAGAAAACAAGCATGCACAGGGTATAAGGGAAACAAAAGTGTGCTGAATCCAGAGGTGGGCCATAGGCAGGATCACTAACACTCTTGTACAGTTAAACATTCACTATTTCCATAGTTACACAACGTTGATCATGAAGTCGATCTATCATGAAGTCGATCTATTAAAGGCATAGTCAGGATGTACTGTGGATGAACCTTTTAACTGAAAAGTCAAGGAATTCACTGCAAGTGGAAAAGTATCTCTGTGTCTGCCCATTCTTGGGTTGCCGTTTGCAAGCCAGGAAACTGAAGACGGTGTTTTGAAAGTTAACACGTTCAGTAACTTCACGCTATGTGGTTTTTTTCTTTCCTTTTTTTTTTTTTTTTTTAAAAAAAAAAAAGGTTGCAAAGCGTTATTACATTTTTATTAAGAACTCCCTCTTTCTCAGCTGCATCCGCAGGCCGGTCATCTTCAGATCGCGTGTTTGCAATCTCCCGCCAGATGGGAGACTGCAAGTGCGGGGCTCACGTCCCACTCCCCTCGGAGACCCCGGCGGCCCGAGACTTGGCCTACAGCCTGCGCTCCACTAATGAATGAAAGGTCTCATATTTCTTTCACTTATTTGGGGTATTCGGGCCTTGGGTTGCTTTCTTGCCTTCAGCTACGGATCTAAAGAAAGACTGATCCCAAAGCCCAGGTGCCTTTTTCCCCACCTGAGGCTAAGGCCCGGTTTCCATCCAGACACTCGGAAACACGCCCTCTTCCAACACCCACAAGCGACCCTTTTACCTACAAAAGGCACCCGGACCGCGCGATCGCCGTCAGAGAAAAGCCACTGTAAAAGACTGCAACCGCCAAGGCAGTGGGGCCGCCGCGCCTCCGGAACAGGAAACCGAGGGAATTAAATAGCAAACCTGAGCCAGCGGCACCAAGGGAGGAAACTCTTCGGCTCGCCCCAGCACCTCGGGAGCGGTGATTGGTGCGGCCACAAGAGCGATGGGGATTTCAACCAGTCGTCCACGTCCATCCATTCGGCGCCCGCCCCCCCGTCCTCTACCTCCTCCAATCCGGAACCGCAACCGGGTAAAGGCGCGTTTCCGCCGGGCACAGGCGGCCGCGGCCGCAGTTCGGGCTTTCCCGGGTCTTCGTCCTGCGACTCCGGCTGCTCCCTGGAACGCTGACGGCGCGAAATCATGAGTGACTCCGCGGGAGAGCCCGCGCGCCTCCGGTGCTACCCGGAGCTCCCGGTGTGGGTGGTGGAAGATCATCAAGAGGTGAGCGGACGGCCGCCGCGCGCTGGGGGACAGGACCGCCTGGAGAACTGACGCTTCAGGGACGAGTACATGGCAGAGTCTTAGCATTGGAGGCGGAGAGATGACCTGCCGGGCTCGGTGGCTGTGAGGAGGGACACTAAAGCAGCTGCCATGAGAGAATGGGAGTTGACGTTTATGAAGTGCTCCCGCAAGCATACGTGGGTGTCGCGGGGATTGGAGCCTGACAGTCTGAGCGCAAAGCCTGGTATTCTCAACCTGCTCTTAACGTTGGCTTCTGGGGAACTCCGTCCGGAGTCTCTTCCCATGGGTCTCCGTCTGACACTTACTGAATCAATGCAGTGGTCCAAGCCCTGTGCATACGTTCCTATCTGTGAAATAAGGACAATAAATCGCACCGTTCCTAGGGACATTACAAGTAGTATTATGTGCAGTTTGTACATTTATCTCTTAACACGGTAGCTGATGTATGTAAAACACTGAAGATGTTATTTTATTGCTTTGATACTTTAGCTAAAATAGTGCCTTACTGTAGACATTTGGAAGCCTAATAGGGTGGCAGTGGATCTGAGAAATGTTTCCAAAGGCAGCATTAATAGACTTTGGGGGTTCTCTGGGTATGAAAGAGAAAGAAGGTGATGGGGATTTATGGACGGAAAAGTTAGAGAAGAGGAGGGAAGTTGGGTTTCTCGGGACTCAGACCTATATAGTGTTTATGAGCTGAGACAGAGGAGCTGGGTTAGGCAGTATTTTCAAATTACCTTTTCAATCTAAAATTACCAAGAACCTAAAAGACCACCTAGCCCCTCCCCGTCATCCTAAATAACCCACTGCCAGTCCATTCTGACTCATAGTGAACCTACAGGACAGAGTAGAATAGCCCCATAGGGTGTCCAACCTTTAAGGAAGCAGACTGCCTCATCTTTCTCCCAAAAGGAGTGTAGCTTGAACACACAGTTCATGTCAACTGAGAATTAGCAGTTTGTTCGTGAGCCCCGGTCCTGGTCTGTTTCCCCCATCACCTGTTGAGCTTGAGCGGCAGTTGGATGATGACTGTAGCTGCTCATGAAGTTGGAAGTTCTCAGGAAAAAAATATAGCTTATGATAGTTCGAATCATCTATGATAAAGGAATTTTATTTTCCCACTTTTTAACAACTTGTTTGCTGTTTCACAAACTATGTGCCATTATGCTTACCGTCATTTTTCAGTCTTCAGTTGAGTGTATGTATGTTCCTGATTTCTGTGCCAATTCTGAATGTATATGTGTATCTTTACAGGTTCTGCCTTTTATATACCGGGCCATCGGCTCAAAGCATCTTCCTGCCAGTAATATAAGTTTTGTACATTTTGATTCACATCCGGACCTCCTTATTCCTGTGAATATGCCAGCAGACACAGTGTTTAACAAGGAAACACTCTTCGGGTAATATGTGATGTTTGTTAATGACCTTTTGTATGCCTGAAATACAGTTGGCCAGAGAAGTGGTCTTTTCAGCTGCCTGTGAGGTGGCCTCTGACTCATGGGGACCCTGTAACACAGCGCGGCCTGATCCTGTGCTATCCCACACTCAGCTCTGGATCAGACTGCTGTGATCCATAGGGTTTTCATGTTCAGCAGTAGATCATCAGGCCTTTCTTCCTTGTCCGCCTTATTCTGGAAGCTCCGCTAACACCTGTTCAACATCACAGCAACATATGAGCAAGCCTCCACCACTGATGGGTGGTGCATGAGGGGTGCTGGCTGGGAATCAAACCCAGGTCCCCCACACAAAAGGCAAGAATTAAAGGAAAGAGACTTTACTAAGCTCATGGACTTTGTTTTTGTTTTGCTTCCCTTTTTTATTTCATTTAGAACACTATGAGCAAACTTCTCCTAATGAGCCAGATCGGGAGCTCTGGTAGCATAGTGGCTAAGACACTTGCCTGCTAACCAGACGGCTGGCGGTTCAAACCCACCAGCCACTCTTTGGAAGGAAAGTTGGGCAATCCTACTTCCATAGTGATACTGCCTCGGAAACCCAAGGAGGGGTCGCTATGAGTCGGGTATCACTGTTTAAAGCCATAGACACTTTAAACAAATGACTATGGCTGTATTCCAGTAAAACTTTACAAAAACAGGTAGCCCAGCCAAAGCTTGCTGACCTCTGATTTAGAATATATAATTTTAGAAGTAGAAGAGAAATTATATGAGCCACTTCTCCCTTCCTCTCCCCTTTAAAAGTCTGAACGCGAGGCACAAGAAAGCATGCCCTATCTAAATGCATAGCTCAGTAATTGTATCAGCAACATACCTTTAATTTCCTATAACCTTCCTCCCAGCATAGTCTACTTCCCATGTTTTAATTTTCAGGTCACAAATCTTGCCAACATTCAATTGTATAGAATCATACAGATGGAAGTAAACTTGATGGTTTGTACACCATTCTTTAGGAAGGGCCCTACCTAATAATAATTACTTACTAGCCTTGCTTCTGTAGTAAAGTCTCCTGAAATTCTGTCACTATCTCTCATGTATAGAATGACTAGAATTAGTCTGCTTCTATAATACAAAAAGTTACACAGCAGTAATTTTGCTGTGCTAGAATTAAATGATAGACATCTATGTGAATTAATTTTACTAACTACTACAGGAGCTCTGGTGGCATAGTTGTTAAAGCATTTGGCAGCTAACCAAAAGGTCAGCAGATCAAATCTACCAGCCTATTTGCAGAAGAAAGATGAGGCAATCTGCTTCCATAATTTGTAGCTTTGGAAATGCTGTGTGGCAGTTGTCTGTTCTACAAGTTCACTATGAGTCAAAAACTCGATGGCATTGGGTAGAGGGTACTATTACTACTACATTTCTTATTGCTGGTTTTTTTTTCCCCCACATCTCCAGTTTGGAGTTTAATTCCTAAAGAAATGGTGTCTGCACCATTGTCATTACTTCCTCATATGTTTAGAGATTTTGCATTTCAGAAATTGAACAAAGAATTATGAGGCAGGTATGCGGTACTGTATAGTCTTAGAAGAATGGATCTTACATGTTTTGGCCTTAGGACCCCTTTAAAAGTTATTTAGCATTTTGAATGTAGGTTTTCTCTATCAATATTTACCATATTTCATATTAAAACTTGTTGTTGTTATTTGCCATCGAGTCGGACCTGACTCATAGCGACCCCTCCTTGGGTTTCTGAGGCAGTATCACTATGGAAGTAGATTGCCCCATCTTCCTTCCAAGGAGTGGCTGGTGGGTTTGAACTGCCAGCCTTCTGGTTAGCAGTCAAGTGCCTTAGGCACTATGCTACCAGAGCTCCCTATTAAAACTTAGAAAATGTTAAGTATTAATTTGTTTCAAAGTAACAATAGGAAGCCCATTACATGTCAACATAAATGTGATGTTCTAATGAAGAATAAATGTATTTTCCAGAACAAAATAAAATTGAGTGAGAAGACTGGCATTGTGTCCATCTCTGTATATCTCTAATACCTGCCTTTTCAGAAGACAGTTGGAGTTTCATGTACTTATACATTAAATCTTTTGCTATACCTTGTTTTGGTTGGAGTATATGAGGAAATTTGGGCTCTCACATATAGGTCATTAGAAAAAGGCAGAGTATTTTCATAGCCTTTTTGATCATTGTAAATACTCGTTGGTACTACACCAAAACTTAACAGGTGGTAGTTTTCTTTAGGAAGGGGGTAGTTAAAATGTAGAATCTAGCAGTTCAGACTCTCATCTGAAAACCATAGTTGTCTGTCATTCCTTTCAAAAAAAAAAGATGTTTTGCTCAAAATTCAGTGACACAGTGTTTTTCCTTGAGACACCCAAAGTACTTCAAAGTCTACCAGAAGTCTTTGTGTGCATTTCTCATTTTACCACATAGAATATTTAAAGGTCTATACCTCAAGGATCAAGAGTTAATAAAATCATCAAGGATGTTCTTAAGTGAAACTGGCTTTTGTTGTTGTTACTATTTGGTGGTGAAGAATAGGGTGACTGCTAGTAGAGTTTGTTGCTACTGCCTTGATTACCTCAAGATACCAACCTGCCATTGCTTTTGCACTGTCAGTGCAAACGCCAGTACACTGAAATGGGCAAATGATACCTTAGTACTAGGAAAGTAGTCTTGACGTAGTGGGCACTCTGAAAAGGTCTCAGAGGACCTCCCTTCCCAACCCCCAAGGATCCACAGACACTCTTTGCTGGTAACTCTGTCGTTACTAGGGGAGCTCTGGTTGGGTAGTGCCTAAGGCATTTGACTGCTAACCAGAAGGCTGGAGGTTCAAACCCACCAGCCACTCCTCAGAAGGAAGGTTGGACAATCTACTTCCATGGTGATACTGCCTCAGAAACCCAAGGAGGGGTCGCTATGAGTCAGATCTGACTCAACAGCAGTGGGTTTTTATCGTTACTAGCTTTAATGTTTCCTGTTTCTTTTTCAGAGAATTAAGTATTGAGAATTGGATTATGCCTGCAGTTTATGCGGGGCATTTTTCTCATGTAATATGGCTTCATCCCACATGGGCTCAGCAAATTGAGGAAGGCAAACATCGCTTCTTAGTCGGCAAAGACACGTCTACCACCACAATCAGGTAATAGTCTCGTGTTTATGAGTATGAGATTAGTTGAATGTTTTTCTCTTGTTTTGGATCCCTATAATTACTGGGATCAGAGTAAACCTCAACTCCTCCAAAATGAGTTGTTGAAACATTGGAAACAAGTTCTCAAAGATGACTAACTCCATGAAATCACTAATGTTCTGTGTTCAATGATACATTTTGCTTTTTCCTTCCAATGTAACAATTGTATGCTACATTTAAAAATTAGCAGAAAAAGAACAAAATATCTCACTTTCACTTTTTATAAATCCCATGGCTGAAAAAACAGATGCTAGGTTTTAACTTTATTAATATTAGATTTAGAGAGTTACTTAATCTAAAATTGCAGCATCCTTCACTACTGTTACATACACAGCTATTTTTGTGGTATAAACTGTTTAACCAATGTTTTGTGTATTTTGTGATACTACAATGCTTTTGGAAACACCAGACTATTCTTGACTTTCTAAACTCTATTGTAATGAGATGAATATTTCAAACAATGTAACCATAACTCTAGAACCTGAAAGATAGTGGGATACAATGGTAGTACATTGAAAATGAAACAGTCTTTTTTTATTTCTGAGCTTTCCTTAATGATACAGTTAACTTTTGTGGTATGTGTTCATATCACTTGCACAAATAACTTTGTTGTGTTATTTATTAATGCCAGCAGACACTCATATTTATTTAGGATATAATACAAAAATTAAAGAAAGAATTAGGGCTCAGCATATAGTGAAATACAGATATATTGGTATTAGTGAAAAGTGCGGTAAGATTTTTAAGGAGCACGGTGGTTAAGCACTTGGCTGCTAACTGAAAGGTCAGCAGTTCAAAACCCCCAGCTACTCTGTAGAAGAAAGATGTGGCAGTCTGCTGCCATAAAGATGTATAGCCTTAGAAACTCCAAGAGGCAATTCTACTCTGTCCTATAGGGCCCCTGTGGCAGTGAGTGAGAATTCGACGGTAGTGGGTTTGGTTTAGTGGGTAGGATTTTTATTGGGTTCATCACTGGGTAGGCCTAATTTAACTTGTAGCAGGTTTTTGAAAGATCAAGTCGTTTTGAGCAATCTTAAGTAGACTTGAAGCTCAATGTGTGGTAATAATATTAGGAAGATTTTGATTACCTCATAATTTTAGTTAATCCTGCAAATGAAAATGTAAGGAAGAAACACACATACATATTTACATACAGTGTGAGATAATACATGTGTGTCTGTGTGAATGTTGTGGTTGAATGCCGTTGAGTCAATTCAGAGTCATAGCAACCCATGTGACAGAATATAATTGCCCCATAGGATTTTCTTGGCTATAATCTTTACACTCGATGGCACATAACAACAACAATAATCTTTACAGAAGCATTTCTCCAGATCTTTCTCCTGTAGTGCCACTAGGTGGCTTGAACTGCCAGCCTTTCAGTTAGCAGTCAGACACTTAACTGTTGCACCACCAGGGCTCCTTTGAATGGTATGAACAAAGTAAAATTTCTGTTTTGTGGGAGAATACAAATTTAGATTGGGGAATACAGCCTTTGTCTTTTTTAGTATAGTACAGTTTTTAATAAGCTTCAACATTAGTTTTATTAGGGGGTTAATCCTTTTGGAAAATTTTATCTTTCTAAATTTATAGCTGTATGTGCTGGGAGGAGGGACATAAATCTGAACCATTATTTTAGTTTGATAGGGCCTGTCTCTGGAAGAAACAGTGGCTTTCAGTATTCAAAGTACCTACCTAGACGTGATACAGTTGAAAAGCTGAGAACATGCCCACAGGTCTAAATCAGAAACCTGCAGCTTGTGAACTGCATTCTACAAGTGTGCAAGATCTTGTTTTGAAGTCACTATTCATATTAAAAATGCTGTATGAAGTTTAATGAAGCTTTGAAATATGTCAAAGCAAGTCTTAGTTATCTAGTGCTGCTATAAGAGCAGAGAGTGGCTTTAAGAAGCAGATACTTATTTTCACACGGGTTAGGAGGCTGGAAGTCCACATTCCGAGCACCGACACTAGGGGAAGACTCTCTGTCGGCTCTGGAGGAGGTCTTCGTGTCTTTTCATCTTCTATTCCTCGTCTCTTCAGTGATCTTCACGTGACATGGCATCTATCTTCCCCCAAATCTGCTTGCTTCTCTGTCCTAATCAGCTCTTTGTTTCTCAATGGCAGTTGGCTTAAAGCACAACCTTCACTGCTTCTTCACATGACAAAGAAAACCCATTCCCAGTGGCATCATAACCACTGACGTAGGAGTTAGGATTTTTCAACATGTATTTTGGGGGACACAGTTCAATCCATAACAGGGCACTTCTGTTGAAAGATATTATTTCCAAATGTAATTTTCCTCGTAAGCGTTGTTCTGGATAAAGCTTCAGCTACTGTGAGAGAGATCCAAAGTGGCACCGGGTTCAACAGGAGAGCTTATTCCTTTCTCCTGTTAGAGCTCACACACATAGTCCAGGGCTGATGTCACAGCTCTACAGTTGGAGAGTCCCTGGTTCCTTCTGTATTTTTGCTCCACCATCTCTAGAATGTTGTCTTGTCCCCATAGTGCACGGTGACACAGCCACTGCCATGTTCACGTTCTAGTTGGCAAAGAAGGGGAGAGCAAGGCTCTGCACACTTCTCTTCCATTCTCAACCAAGTGCCCACACCAAGCCACAAAGTAGACTGGGAAGCGTCACCTTTACTTTGGGCAACTGTATTGCAGCTAACCATTTGGGGAAAGCTATTTCTGTAGAAACACAGGAAGTACACACATTGGAGACAACACCCAGATTTTGTCAGATGTGTCCATTCTTGCATTTCTGCACTCCCATAGTGAAGTGTTAGCTCATTGGTTCAGTTTTGTTTAAAAATCGTTTTTTCCTCTCATCCAGGGTTACAAGTACAGATCATTATTTCCTAAGTGATGGTCTTTATGTACCTGAAGACCAGTTAGAGAACCAGAAACCTTTACATTTGGATGTTATTAAGGTAAAACCTTATGAACTCTGTAACAGTCGAGAAGGAAATGATGCTGTGTCTTCTGCTAAGAAGCCAAAGCTGACGCCAGAAGATGTGGCAAACGCTGCCTCTCCTGACTGTGACTCTTACTCAGAAGAACTGGAAAAGGACCCAGTGACACAGACAAGTGGCCCAACTTGTGTGGACCCATCACGTTCATGTTCTTCTGAGAGACAGGAATGCCAGGCTACAGTCCACACCGGGGAAACGCTGGATATTTTGAAGAAAGGAGATGCATTTGTGTTAGATATTGACTTAGATTTTTTTTCAGTCAAGAATCCTTTCAAAGAAATGTTCACTCAGGTAAATACAGTAGTTTTAAACTGTAGAGCATGAAAATTAGACTGCATTTCTCTAGATCAAAGATTAGCAAACTTTCTGCAAATAGCAATTATTTTATATTTGGGGGCCTTGTACAGTCTCTTTTGTCTGTTCTTTGGTTTTGTTCTGTTTTGTTTTGTTTTCTATTTAAACCCTTTAAAATTGTAAATACCATTCTTACCTTGAGGGCCATACTAACGCCCCCTAAGTTGTGGTTTGCCAGTCCTTGCTCCAGGTACTATTCATTGTTTTGCATCCATCAACTAGCATAATGTATACACAGGCAGTTAAATAAAATCGCACATACACCAGTGTGTAAATACATCGAAAAATACCTGTTTTTACCTCTGTCTCCGTTCTCTCACATCCTCACCTAGGAAACAGATACCGTGGCCAGAGATGTTCTGTGTGTACAAAAATCTCTGTGATAGATTTTTCATTAACGATGAACTATTTCATTATGCGTATCACTATTTTATAGCTAATGAATCAGGCTTACGGTTATTAGGGTATCTTGGCAGAGTTTTTTGGGTTTCTTTTTAATATATATTCTTATATATTCACTACTGTCAAGTCAGATCCTACTCATAGCGACCCTTCCTTGGGTTTCCAAGATGGTACCACTACGGAGGTAGATTGCCCAACCCTCCTTCGGAGGTGTGGCTGGTAGGCTTGAACCGCCAGCCTTCTGGTTAGCAGTCAAATGCCTTAGGCACTACACCATTAGAGCTCCCTATTATTACATGTTGTTGTTGTTGTTGTTATGTGCCGTCGAGTCGGACACGACTCATAGCGACCCCCTCCTTGGGTTTCCCAGGCAGTATCACTACAGAAGTAGATTGCCCCATCTTCCTTCCGAGAAGTGGCTGGTGGGTTTGAACATCATCCTTCTGGTTAGCGGTCAAGTGCCTTAGGTGCTATGCTGCCAGAGCTCCCTTATTATTATATAGTGGTTGCTTATTCTTAAGTAATTTTTTGATATGGCATTTCAGGACAACATAATAATTTAGACAGTTCCATAGAGTAAAATACAACTTGATTGACTTGTATTACGATCATAGGCCTGCTTTGAAAGAGCAGAGAGTGGCTTTAAGAAGCAGATACTTATTTTCACACGGGTTAGGAGGCTGGAAGTCCACATTCCGAGCACCGACACTAGGGGAAGACTCTCTGTCGGCTCTGGAGGTGGTCTTTGTGTCTTTTCATCTTCTATTCCTCGTCTCTTCAGTGATCATTGTTTTGCATCCATCAACTAGCTTAATGTATACACAGGCAGTTAAATAAAATCACACATACACCAGTGTGTAAATACATCGAAAAATACCTGTTTTTACCTCTGTCTCCGTTCTCTCACATCCTCACCTAGGAAACAGATACCATGGCCAGAGATGTTCTGTGTGTACAAAAATCAAAACAGAACAAAACCAACTATTTTATAGCTAATGAATCAGGTAAAAATCATTTACCATTGTAATGAAGTTGTTGTTTGGCTCGTTTTCCTAGGGCTTAATCCAGGTTAGTTTGATTTTGATGATTCCTGATTGGGCAAAAGGACTGGTTTTCAGTGTCATAACTGTCTCCTTATTTAATTACATCATATTTCAACGTCCAGTTGAAATTATTTCTCTTGTGCTCAATAATTTGCTACTTTACGTATACATTATGAGAGTGTTTTCTGTTTCTGATTCTGTTGAGGAAATCATGGCAGATCTTAACATGCAGGTCTTCCTAAGTTCGGTATTTGATTGCTGACAGTGCTGGTGGTAGTGATGATGTACTTTATGATCCTTGTTCTATAGATACATCAGAAACCATTGTGATTGATCTAAATGATAAAAGGCCTCTATCCAAACCCACTGCCATCGAGTCAATACCAATTCATAGCAACCTGCATTGAGTTTCCAAAGTTACAAATCCATAGAAGGAGATTGCCTCGTCTTCCTCTTGTATAGCAGCTGGTGGGTTTGCACCACTAACCTTCTGTTTAGCAGCCAAATGTCTTACCTGCTATGCCACTAAAAAACAAAAAACTCACTGCCATCGAGTTGATTCCGACTCATAGTGACCCTCTGGGTTTCCAAGGTGGATTGCCCAGTCTTCCTTTCACAGAGTGGCTGGTGGGTTTGAACCACCAGCCTTATTTTTAGCAGTCAAATGCCTTAGGTACTACACCACCAGAGCTCCTTAAAGGGCCTCTAATAGGCACTAATTAAAGATAGTTAAGATTTGGGGATTAAGTGTAATCTGGAGCAAGATTTGGGGGTCATGTGTAATGGGGAACCTAGAGTACTCTTCTGGCTTGCAGATAAGAATGAAAACTTTCCTGCTTTCTCTTCCTGTTATGTGTGGAGCTGGTGCGCTCTGCAGCCATCAGCCTCAGCCTAAGAAAGCTTAGAAACCTTGGAGAATGGGCATGCCTAGAAGGTGAAGGACCTGACTGGAGGGATTTAACCTACAAATATATTCATGTAAATATTAATTATTAACAAATATTACTAAATATTAGTACAGTGTATCAATTACTAAAATATAATAAATGAACAAAACCAAACTCACTGCCATCGAGTCAATTCTGACTCATAGTGACCCCCATTGAGTTTCCAAGGTGGTAAATCTTTATGGAAGTAGATTGCCCCATCTTCCACGAAGTGGCTGGTGGTTTTGAACTGCCAGCTTTCTGGTTAGCAGTCAAATGCTGTAGGCACTATACCACCAGAGCTCCTCATACTAAATGTAGTAAAAGAATTTTCTAAAAGGTTACATAAGAAACTTAATGTTATTCCTTTTCAGTGCTACTGAGACATATGAAAGTGAAGAATTTTGTTTCTGTTATACTCTTGGGTATGTGTTATACTTCATAATTTATTAGGTGTTTTTTGTACACTAAAAAAGATAGTTAATTATGTACTTATTTTTTTTTTTTTTTTAAGAGCAGGTTCAGAAGTTAGAGTTAAGTACTATTTATTATTTTTTCTGCTTACAGTTTAGTGACCTTAGGAAAGATACTTAACCTTTCTGACCTGCAATTTCTTCAGTTACAAAATGGGAATAATCACCATGGCCCGCTCATAGGATGCCATAAAGAGTCATGCAGCAGGGCAGTGACGCCCCTTTTGGTCCATGAGTTTTAGCTTAGGGTGCATTCACCTAAGCAGTGGTGTTGGAGCCAGATGTACCCATCTCTCTAATGGGGCTGTCTAGCTGTGCTAAATGTGACCACTTAGAGGAGGCCATTCTCTTGCAAAGTCTGTATGTAACATCCTTCTTCCATTCTATAGAGTTTCCTGACTGAGTTTCTTTGTCTTTGCCGATCTGTTCTGTTATTGCCTTTGTACTGCAGAATTCTCTTCTGTCACTAGGGAAATGGCTGCAGAGTAAACATGGAGAGGTTTTTGTTATGATTATTAAAGATATGTATATTTCCTATAAGGACCCTGGTGGTGCAGTGGTTAAGCATTTGGCTGCTAAGTAAAAAGTTGGTGGTTCAAGCCCGCCAGCCATTCCACAGAACAAAAGACATGGTGATCTGCTCTTGTAAAGGTTACAGCCTAGAAACCCAATAGAGCAGTTCTACTCTGTCATACAGGGTCACTCTTTAAGTCAGAGTGGACTCAATGTTGTTGTTTTTTTAGATGCTATCAAGTTGGTGCCAGCTCTTAGCAACCGTATGTACAACAGAATGAAATACTGCCTGGTCCTACACCATCCTCACAGTCCTTGCTGTACTTGAGCCTATGATTGCAGCCACTGTGTCAGTCCATCTTGTTGAGGGCCTTCCCCTTTTTCTCTGACCCTCCACTTTTCCAAGCATGATAACTTTCTCCAGAGAATAGTCCCTTTTGACAACATGACCAGAGTAGGTGAGACGAAATCTGGCCATCCTCACTTCCAAGGGTCATTCCAGCTACACTCCTTCCAGGACAGGTTTGTTCCTTCTTCTGGCAGTCCATGGTATTTTCAGTATTCTTTGCCAACACAGTAATTCAAAGGCATCAACTCTTCTTTGGTCTGTCTTACTCATTGTCCAGCTTTCACATGCAGATGAGGCTGCTGAAAATACCAGGGCTTGAATTAAGCACACCTTAGTCTTCAAAGTGACATCGTTGCTTCTTAACACTTTAAAGAGGTCTTTTGCAGTACATTTGCCCAGTGCAGTATGTCATCTAATTTCTTGACTACTGCTTCCATGGATATTAATTGTGAATCCAGCCAAACAAAATCCCTGACAACTTGAGTCTGCTCTCTGTTTATCATGATGCTGCTTATTGGTCCTGTTGTGAGGATTTTTGTTTTCTTTATATTGAGATATAATCCATACTGCAGACTGTAGTCTTTGATCTTCATTAGTTAGTACTTCAGGTTATCACTTTCAGCAAGAAAGGTTGTATCATCTGCGTATTGCAAGTTGTTAGTGAATCTTCCTCCAATCCTGATGCCATGTAATTCTTCATATAATCCAGCCTCTCATATTATTTGCTCAGCATACAAATTGAATAAGTATGGTGAAAGGATACAGCCCTGACACAAACTTTTCCTGATTTTAAACCATGCAGTATCCCCTTGTTCTGTTTAAATAACAGCCTCTTGGTCTCTTTCCTTTCCTTTCCTATTCTTTGCAATACTATCCATAATTTATTATGATCCACAAAGTCAAATGCTTTTGCATAGTCAATAAAACAAAGGTAAACCTCTTTCTGGTGTTCTTTGCTTTCAGCTAAGATCCATCTGACAGCAACAGTGGTATTCCTTGTTCCACATACTGTTCTGAATCCAACTTGAATTTCTGGAAGGTCCCTGTCAATATACTGCTGCAACGGTTTCTGAATTATCATCAGCAAAATTTTACTTTTGTGTAGTACTAATGATATTGTTCAATAATTTCTACATTCTGTGGGATCACTTTTCTTTGGAATGGGCACAAATATCCCTTCCAGTCAGTTAGCCAAGTAGCTGTCTTCCAAATTTCTTGACATAAAAGAGTAAGCACCTCCAGCACTTCAGCTGTTTGTTGAAATCTCAATGGGTGTTCCATCAATTCCTGGAGCCTTGTTTTTCTCCAGTTCCTTCGGTGTAGCTTAGACTTCTTCTTTCAATACCATTGGTTCTTAATCACATGCTACATCTTGAAATAGTTGAGCGTCGACCAATTCTTTTGGGTACAGTGACTCTGTATATTACTTCCATCTTATTTTGATACTTCATATGCAGCATATTTCCTATATGTAGGTAAAATCTGTTTAGATCTTAAGATATGTCCCTTTATAAAGTGGAATATTATTAGAAATACTTTCATCTCATGACCCACAGGCCACCAGTCTCCCACAGATCATTTTTATGCATTTCTCTCATCATACCCAGCTGGATAGAGTTGCCATAAGGAGATGATAATATTACAGTGTTGTTGTGTGCTGTTGAGTCAAATCCAACTCCTAACAATCCTATAAAACAGAGCAGAACTACCCTATAGGATTTTCTGGGTGTAATTACAGGAGCAAACTACCAAGTCTTTTCCTGACCAGTCACTGCTGTGTCCAAACCACTGACTTACCTACCAGGGTTCCTTAGTAAGTATAAAATGATATATTTTACCTGATTCTCCCAGAAAACCTTTAAGTAATTATCTAGGATATTCTCCTTGTATCAGAGCCAAGGCTAACTTGTGTTTCACTTAAAACATGTTATTGTAAAAAAAAAATTAAAAAATTATTTCTTTTCTGGTATCTGTATTGTTTTGTTTTCTAGGAAGAGTATAAAATCCTGCAAGAGCTGTATCAATTTAAAAAGCCTGGAGCCAACCTAACAGAGGTATCTTCTATTCATTTCTATTGGGTTTTATCTATTTGCCATTTTTGTAGTAATATCTTACAGTTTATTTGAGTGATCTCAAAGGACTGTTAAAATACTGCTGTGTGTGTGCATTAATTGGTGAAGCTTGTGTTTTAACTAACTGAACCAAGATTTTTATTGTAATGGGGTTTCACTTGTCTTTTGCAAGAATGAATGGTATAATCCCAGCTTTCAAATGTGATTTTATAGGAAGATCTGGTAGACTGTGTTGATACACGAATTCATCAATTAGAAGACCTAGAAGCCACCTTTGCTGATTTGTGTGATGGTGATGATGAAGACACTGTGCAGAGATGGGCTTCAAACCCTGGGTGAGACCCCTGAACATTTTTCCTCTTACTCTTCTACCTTGCAGTTCTAGGTTGCTAAGCCTGATAGGAAATTTCTTTAAAAAATTAATTCGCATTAAATTTAACATATATGTATTACCCATAGCTAACATTCATTGAGTGTCTATTATGTGTCCAGTATACTTCTGAGATTTGTGGTTCAAACCCAGCAGCCACCCCTTGGAAGGAAGATTGGGCAATCTACTTCCATAGTGATACTGACTCGGAAACCAAAGGAGGGGTCGCTATGAGTCAGAGACGACTCAACAGCACATAACAACAACAACAGTCAAAGGCATTTGACTGCTAACCAGAAGCCTGGTGGTTCAAACCCACCAGCCACTCCTTGGAAGGATGACTGGGCAATCTACTTCTGTAGAGTTACCGCCTCAGAAACCCAAGGAATGGTCGCTATGAGTCAGATCTGACTTGATGGCAGTGACTTTGGTCTTGGTTGGACTCATTTATGCCTTTTAATATTGTTGTGGTTTCAGTATTATTATACCTATTTTGTAGATGAAGAAAACAAGGCACATAGTTTCAGTAAGTTGCCCAAAATCATGTAATAAGTGGGCAGGCTTTTAATCATTGTAAACTTTTGGTCCCCATGAGGAAGCATAGTAAGACTAGCCACCCACTGCCATCAAGTTTAGTCAGACTCGTTGCATTCCTATGGAACAGAATAAAACTGTCCCATTAGGTTTCCAAGCTGTATATCTGTATGGAAGCAGACTGCCACATATTTCTCCCACAGAATGGCTGGGGAGTTCGAACTGCAGACCTTTTGGTTAGCGGTCAACCCTGGAAACACTGTGGCAATAAGGCTTCCTAAGAAGACTAGATGTAGCTTATTTTAAAATTAATCTCCCAGAAACTGTGCCCTTATTTTCCATGGTGTAAACATAAGAAAGCAGACGTAAGACAGGAATGAGGAGTTAATATCATGGTGCTTTGGGATCAGAACATGAATGGCTATTATGATTTATCATGTTATGGTTATTGAAAATAATTCATCAGATCTCTAGAGGAATACAGAATAAACTAGCAACAGTGTTTGCTTCTGGAAAAACCAATTGTATGACTCACATTAACTATATGAGGGAAAAATGCCTTCTGTTTTGCTATGTGCATATGTTGTTTTGTGTTTTATTTTATTAGGTTTCTTCAAGTCAGTTCTGACTCAAAACAACCCCGTGCACAACAGAACAAACTACTGCCTGGTCCTGTGCCATCCTCATAGTTGCTGCTATGGTTAAGCCTATTGTTGTACCCAGTGTCATTCCATCTCGTTGATGGTCTTTCTCTACTTTACCAAGCATGATATCCTTCTCCAAGGACTGGTCCCTCCTGATAACATGTACAAAGTAGGCAAGACAGAGTCTCACTATGCTTACATCTAAGGAACATTCTGGCTGTACTTCTTCCAAGACAGATGTTCTTCTGGCAATCCATGGTATACTCAATATTCTTCACCAACATCATAATTCAAATGCATCAATTCTTCTTTGGTCTTCCTTATTCTTTGTCCAGCTTTCCCACCCATATAAGGCAGTTAAAAACACCATAGCTTTGGTCCTCCAGGTGACAACTTTGCTTTTTAACACTTTAAAAAGGTCTTTTACACTGGATTTACCCAATGCAATACATCTGATTTCTTCACTGCTGCTTGCATGGGCACTGATTGTGGATCCAAGTAAAATGAAATCCATGAAAATTTCAATCCGTTTATCTTGATACTGCTTATTGGTTCAGTTGTGATGACGGTAGTGAGGATTTTTGTTTTCTTTATGTTGAAGTGTTATCTGTATTGAAGGCTATAGACTTTGATCTTCATCAGTAAGTGCTTCAAGTCCTCTTTTCTTTCAGCAAGCAAGCTTGTGTTCATCCATGTATCAGATTGTTAGTGAGTCTTCCTCCAATCCTGATACCATGTTGTTCCTCATATAGTCTGGCTTCTCTGATTATTTGCTCAGCATTCATATTGATTAAGTATGGTGAAAAGATAAAAAACCCTGACATACACCTTTCTTGCAGTATCACCTTGTTCTATTCGAACATCTGCCTCTTGGTCTATATACAGTTTCCACAGGGTTACAATTCAGTGTTTTGGAACTCCCATTCTTCATAATGTTATCCATAATTTTTATGATCCATAAGGTTGAATGTCTTTGCATAGTCAATAAAACACAGGCAAACATCTCTCGTATTCTTTGCTTTCAGACAAGATTCATCCGACATCAGCATTGATATCCGTCATTCCACATCCTCTTCTAAATGCATCTTGAATTTCCAGCAGTTCTCTGTAAATGTTCTACTACAACCATTTCTGTGTTATCTTCAGCATAATTTTACTTGGTGGTGTTGTTGTTATGTGTCGTCAACTTGGCCCCAACTCGTAGCGACCCCACCTTGGGTTTCCGAGGCAGTATCACTACAGAAGTAGGATTGTCCAACCTTCCTTCCGAGGATTGGCTGGTGAGTTTGAACTGCCAGACTTCTGGTGAGCAATCAATTTTACTTACACATAATATTAATGATATCGTTCACTGATTTCTGCATTCTTTTGCATCATTTTTCTTTGGAATGGTCACATTCTCTTCACATCTATGGCCAAGGATCCCTGTTGGCACAATGATTAAAGCACTCAGCTGCTGACTGAAAGGTTGGCAGTTCAAACCCACCAGTCACCATATGAGAAAAATGTGGCAGTCTGTTCCCAAAAAGATTACAGCCTTGGAAAGTCTATGGGGCAGGTTTACTTTTTTCCTGTAGGGTTGCTGTGAGTCATAATCAATTCAGTGACAGTGAGGTTTTTTGAGGGGAAGTCAGTTGGCCAGGTCTTCTAAATGTCTTCGGCCTAGACTAGTGAGCACTTTAGAATGGCATTCATTTCTTGAAACATCTCAACTGGTATTCCATCAGTTCTTGGAGTCTTGTTTTTCACCATTACTTACAGTGCAGCTTGGGCATCTTCATTCTGTACCATCAGTTCTTGGTCGTTGTAGTTAACACTGTGTGTCAACTTGGCTGGGCCATGGTTTTGAGTGGCTGGCCTGCTGGATAGAGTTATTCCCCATGATGACAGTAGTATTCAGCTCCATGGTGGAATCTGCTATGAGCAGCTAAGTAGCTGCCATCGGGGTGTGGCCTGTTCCTAGTATATAAGGACAAGCTTTGAAAAAGGTCTCAAGCTTCTGGCACTTCTGGATCCTGCATTTGGCCAAGTCTTCATCTCAGTGGCCTGCCATGTTTCCTGCTACTCTCAGGTTTGTTCCTGGACTTGAAACAATGTCCTGCTGTGTAGTTTGCTAATCTTGGGACTGTGCCATTTTACCCGTCAATCTGGGGTTCATCAGCCTCAGCAGCCAGCAGCTGCATGAGTCAGAAAAATCCTCCAGCTCAAGCAAGCCTGGAACAGGAGGCAGAGCTGAACCCCAAGGTCAGGAGACTTCATGCAGCCCCTGGAGCCAGCACTTTGAACTTGGACTTCTAACCTCCTAAACTGTAAGGGAATAAATCTCCATTTGTTAAGCCATGTACTTGTGGTATTTCTGTTATAGCAGAACTAGAGAACCAAGATAGTCATATACTGCATCCTGAAATAGTTAAACGTCCACCAGTTCTTTGTAGTACAGTGACTTTATGTATTCCTTCCATCTTCTTTTTGATGCATCATTCAATTTTTTGCCCATAGAATCCTTTAATGTTACACCTCAAGGCTTGAATTTTTTTTTCATTTCTTTCAGCTTGAGAAATGCAGAGCATGTTCTTCCCTTTTGGTTTTCTAACTCCAGGTCTTTGCACATTTCATTATAATACTTTGTCTTCTTGAGCTGTCTTTTGAAGTCTTCTATTCAGGTCTTTTATGTCATCATTTTTTCCTTTTGCTTTAGCTGCTCTGCACTCAAGAGCAAGTTTCAGAGTCTCTTCTGACATCCATTCAGGTCTTTCTTTTCTGTCTTTTTAATGACCTTGTCCTTTCTTTATGTATGATGTTCTTGATGTCATCCCAAAATTTATCTAGCCTTTATTTATTAGTGTTGTGTGTCATAGTGGATAAGGGGCTTGACTGCTAACCCAAAGGTCAGTGGTTCAAACCCACGTGCTATCCCATGGAAGGAAGACTGGATGATCTATTTCTGTAAAGATTTACAGCCTCAGAAACCCAATGGGGGGTCGCTGTGAGTCAGAAACGACTTGATGGCAGTGAGTTTGGTTTTTGTTTTTTATTCTTGAGATGATCTCTACATTCAGGTAGAATCTACATAGGGTCAAACTTTGGCTTTCATGGGCTTGTGTTTATTTTCTTCAGCTTCAGGTTGAACTTGCATGTGAGCAGTTAATGGGTCAGTTCAGCAGTTGGCCCCTGGCCTTATTCTGACTGATGAATACCGAGTTTCTCTACTATGTCTTTTTATAAATAGTCAATTTGATTCCTGTATATTCCATCCAGACCACATGATAGTTGCCATTTATGTTGTTGAAAAAAGTTATTGCCAATCAATAAGTCATTGGTCTGGCAAAATTCTATCATGCAGTTGCTTGGTTAATTTCTATAACCAAGACCCTCTTTTTCCACTACTGGTACTCCTCCTTTGTTTCCAACTTTTGCATCCCAATCGCCAGTAATTATCAAACCATCTTGGTTACATTTTTATCTGTTTCAGATTGCAGAAATTGGTAAAAATCTTTAGTTTTTTCATCTTTGGCATTAGTAGTTGTTGCATAAATTTGAATAGTAGTTGTACTAACTGGTCTTCCTTTTAGACATGTGAATGTTATCTTATCACTGACAGTGTTGTATTTCAGGATAGATCTTGAAGTATTCTTTTTGATGATGAATGTGATGCCATTCCTCTTCAATTTGTCATTCCCAGCGTAGTAGACCATGATTACCCAATTCAAAATGGCCAATACTAGTCCATTTCAACTCAGTAATGGATAGGGTATCAATCTTTTTTTTTTCTTTAAATTTTTTTTATTTTGTTGTTTTGAATATATGTGGCAAAACAATTCAATGCAACAGTTTCTACATGTATAGTGTAGTGACATTGATTACATTCTGTCAAGCTGTACAATCATTTGATTCTCCTTTTCTGAGTTACTCTTCCTTCATTAGCATAAATATATTGCCCCAAAGTTCCTATCTAACCTTTCAGTTTGCTGTTATTCATTAGATCCCATACAGATAGTTCTTAAAAGAGTGTAATGCTCAATGCAGCTTTTTTTTTTACTAGTTAAACTAAACTGTTGTTTGATTTTAATGTTCAATTTGAAGAAGACTTCAGGGGATATTTTAGGTTTAAAGTTTAAATATTATTTCAGGGCAATTGTTACATGGATCCATCCACCCTCCATAGCTCCAGACAGTCTGGAGTCCATGAGAATTTAAATTTCTGTCCTGCATTTTCCTCCTTTAGATCAGGATTCTGCCACAGAATCTTTGATCAAAATGTTCAGTATTAGTAGCCCGATACCATCCAGTTCTTCTGGTCTCATAGCAAAGGAGACGTTGCTCGTGGAGGCAGTTAGCCACACATTCCACAGCTTCCGCCTATTCCTGACTCTCCTTCTTTCTCTGCTGTTCCAGGTGAATAGACACCCATTGTTGTGCCTTGGATGGCCTCTTCTAAGATCCCAGGCCCTACACAACAACGTAGAAGGTAGACTCATTAGAACAATCAACCATGCAAGATCAAAAGGGCGGCATTTGCCCAGGGTTAAGGCTCAGAGAGCAGGAAGGGATAGGAAAGAAGGATGAAGGGGAATGGTAAACAGAGGGAGGAAGTGGAAGGGTGCTGTTACAGTGTGGGGATTGCAGTGAACGTCACAGAACAAAATGTGTGTAAATTGTGGGATGGAAAACCAATTTGCTCTGTAAATTTTCACCCAAATCACAATAAATTACTATTTAAAAAATAAATAGATAAAAGGAGGTTAAACTAAAGCACTGAACACCAGTTAGCTTATTGGTTATTAGACCAGTTAACTGGGATATTCTAAGAAACTCTAAACCCAGAAACCATATCCCATAAGGTGTTTGGTTGTACACAAGCAACCACAGTAGTTATTCTTTGTTGTTGTTGTCATTGTAAATATCGTACAACTTTCACCAGTTCAACCTTTTACAGGTGCCCAACTTATAATAATTTCAATAATCAGCTATGCAACCCTACCCTTAATCAATGTGATTTTTCCATCACTGTTAATCTCTTTTCTCCCTTGCGCCTACCTCTGGTAACCAGTAATAAACACTGGTCTCTATACGTTTGCCTTTTCTTGACATTTTATACAATGAGGCTTACAATTTTTGTCCTTTTGTGATTGACTTATTTCACTCGGCGTATGTCTTCAAGCTCTGTCCGTACTGCAGCATGCATCACGTCTTCACTTCTACTGGTTGAGTAGCATCTTCTGTTGCAATTGGCAGTGGACTTGTAGCCAGCAGTGTCCAGGAGGGGGAGATTCTGGCACAGTCCACACGGGCTCCAGGAAGGTCTGCCTTGTTAATTGTGGAGCAGAAGCTAGGATCCTGTCTTTTTACAGGCAGGGGGGTGGGGTAGTCACGGAAGGAGGCCTCCTTTTCTGGGGCCACTTCCCTAGTTCACAGCAGCTAGCGGGCCACCTGGCTGAGGGCAGGGACCATGGAAGAAGTGATTTTCCTACCGAATGTGACTCATTGATTCATGGATTCTTGCCTGTCTGCAGTTCCCCGCTTCTTTCCTCTGCCCCTTGATTGAGAGCCCCTCAAACCCAAGGCCTGTTTCCTTATTGTATTTGTGAGGGAGGATTGGGGCAATGGTTTGTTTATACCACCATCTTCCTAGACTTCTCAAGGGTATTGATCTTCAAGAGTTCTGTTTTCGTTTCAACAGCATCCAGTTTTCCTTGACTCATACTTTGTGTGTGTGTATATTAGCTATTCAAAATATTGATTTTAATTTTTACTTAAAAATAAAATATTCATGGCAATAAATTTACAAAAAAGTAAAATATATAAAAACATCCCTCAAATGTAAATATTATAAAACTTCTGTTGTCTCTGAGAAAAGCACTGGTGTGGAAGAATAATCCATAGCGGTATTAGTCACGTCCGTAAATACTGATGAAGTGCTGTAACATCAGTTAATGCTTTTGCTCTTCAGTCTAGGAAGCTAGTCCTTAAAATAATTCCATCCTTTATGATATCAGTATTGAAGAGGGTAACATAGAAATAAGTCACCTGACATGAGTCTTCTTAAAATATTGAAAAGTAACTACTATTTTGTAATTTTGTGAAGTCTCAAGCCAAGTTTAAAACTTAAGCAATAAATAAGCATGCCTGGAAACCTTGAAGGAACTCTGGTGGTGCAGTGTGCAGTGGCTAAGGGATTGGGCTACTAACCAAAAGGTCAGAGGTTCAAACCCACATCTGCTCCATGGAGGCAGTCTGCTTCCATAAAGATTTACAGCTTTGGAAAGTCTATGGGGCAATTCTACTCTGTTCTACAGGGTCACTATAAGTCATAATTGACTCAGTGCCAGTGGGTTTTATTTTGTTTTATGGAAACCTTGTTGTTGTTATGTGCCCTCAAGTCGGACCCAACTCATAGCAACCCCTCCTTGGGTTTCCGAGGCAGTATCACTACAGAAGTAGATTGCCCCATCTTCCTTCCGAGGAGTGACTGGTGGGTTTGAACCGCCAGCCTTCTGGTTAGCAGTCAGATGCCTTAGGTACTACACTACCAGAGCTCCCATGGAAACCTTAGAATCCTGAAGACAGGTCATAGATGGATGTGGTCACCTTCTGCTGAAACCCCCCTTGGCTACTGGTACACCCAGGTAGCTCTTAATCACTGTAGGGAGTTCCATCACAGACTAGAAGGAACTATGAAAATGCCACAACAGTGACTTTAGACAGTGGCTGAAAGTAGGGGAAAGAATATACAAAGGAAAAAGTGGGTGTGGTGCCACAGAAAGTCTCCTCAAACTAACCATACCCCTAAAGGTCCAGCTTCTCAGCACAGAAGAGTCTTCACTTTTAAGGAAGTAGAGGAGGTGGGTGGTTTGGGGCCAGAAGTCGAAAAAATAACATTAACTTAAATGAAGAATTAACAGGACCATTGGCCAGGCAGGCCCCTCTGCCTTCTTTTATCTTTCTTTTTTCCCTCCCAGCCACTTAGGGGTATTAGGAGAGGGAGGTGGAGGAGGCATTATACTAGACACACTAGTCAATCAGAGTTGCCAAAGAGTTCTAGCTCTATTAAATAACTTTAAAGTTAAAAGCATCATTGTTAACATATAAGACGGTTTAGAACCTTTCTTCTTATAATTGTATATGCAATAAAAATATCCCTGATTTTTTCTCTTTTGGGAAACTGTATCATTTTCATCTGTGTACTAAAAGCACTTAGATTTCCTGCTGGTCCAAATACTTGTTAAAGTGACAGTAGAATGTCCACCTTTAAAGAGGAAGAAAACTTCATTTTCCTGAGTGCTATTTTTCAACCTTTAACGTAGTGTCATATTTTGGGTGAGAAAATAGCAGCGGGCATGCATTTCTTAATATTTTAAGATAATATTTGAACAGCTTTATCTTTTTTTCCTAAGCATCATATGAAACATATTGTTAATGGTAAATTTCAAGTATACTGTATCATTTTGCCTGTAACTTTTATTGAGGTGGTCATGATGTTTAACTGAGGGCCATGGCTTTTTTTCCAGAATGGAGTCACTGGTTCCGCTTGTACAGAGTTTGAAACAACGGATGGAAGTGCCAGACTATGAAATGGTAAATATTGCATATTGATGTATAAAACTGACCCTTTATAATGGCAGTTTTCTGAGTAGAAAAATTTGCTGTTTGTTAAAATGACTGATTTTCATTTGTGCTTCTGGAAACTCTGAATGAATTATTGAGAGAGAAAACAAGTTAAAAACGTACTTTTTAGAAGCCAGAACACTGGAAAAGTTTTCCATGTGAAATATTCTTTTCCCAATTTTACGTGTGAGCCCTGTGTACAGCGCGTATCAGGGCAGGGCATGGCCTGTGCTCAGATCTCTCCTCCCCACGGAGTAGGAAGCAGACTCTCTCCAAAGCTGTCCGTTCTTCTTCATCCATGTCTATACCCCCTTCCTCTTCCTCCTCCTCCCTGCCCTCTGTTTGAAAATGTTTTTCTTTGGAAAAAACAAAAAGACAGACAACAGAGGGAGCCATGGCTCTGTAACTGACTTTGTCAACAGTGAGCTGAATGCTGTGGCCAAAGATGATACTTTTAATCATAATTCCTTTTATTTTCATATCATTTTACAGTCTCTGAAGCAGATCTTTTCACATTTGACCCAGTAGTTGAGATGAGAAAACAGAGGCTTGAAAGGTCCAAGTAACTTTTCCCAGGTTTTATGACAGGGCTGAGACCCCTAACTCTTCTGCCTCTTAATCTAGTTCTTTTACTTTAAAAAATTGTGTTTTGATTTTGTTTGTTTTAGTTGTGGAATACAATGAAGCCACCTAATTTGAACTGAAGTTTAAGTATTGATCTAATGCCAAAATTACAAGGATAAGAAATGCCAGCAAAAGAATATTTTGGTTAAATCTGAGCTAATCCACACCCACTTTTTAAAAATGGTAATTATTAAAAATGATAGAGTTGGAAGAGACTTCAGATTTGATGACACATTGGTTAAATATAGAAGAAACACAAGTAAGTACCTTATAGTAAGTTAAGACAGGTGAGAGGAAGATTTTTCCCCCATAGTGCCTTCTCGAAGCTGCAAATGTAGCATTATGTGTATGACTTTGAAAGTAAATAAAATAATTTGTTTATTGGCCTAAGTATTTAAAGTGCTTATTTTAGAACCTCAGTTCTATACAAAACCAGGCTAAATATTAACATAGGAAAGAAAAATAGCTTTATTAAACTGTTGTTGCTATTCTGCACACTAGTAAGTTCAAATATAAAAATGGCACTAGCTAAGTCCTCATTTGTGGAAGACAGACATGTGCATCCTTGGGTTCATCTGAACAACACTGCCAACTTCAAAAACAAAGTAACAATAACTCTGCGTTGTTTCTCCACCATCACTAAAACCAAAAAAAAAAACCTCACTGCCATTGAGTTGATTGCAATTCATAGTGACCCCCTTGGGGTTTCTGAGGCAGTAAATCTTTACAGAAGTAGATTGCCCAGTCTTCCTTCTGACCATTACTAACAGGAAAGAGAAAATACAACTTTAGGAAAGGGTGGGGTGAAACAATGACAGTTTTATATCCATAACTTCTAGAATCTACATGAAGTGGATAATTCATTTAAAAATGTGAATTTTCAATATCGACTCAAGAAAATACAAAGAAAGTGGATGAAGCAATAAGCATAAAATAAACTAAAGAATTGGTCAAAGAATTGAAAATGGCTCAGGCCAAAACCAGTGGACAAACAGATTCTACCAAAACTTCAGAGAAGAGATAACTTATATAAAACAAAATGTTACAGTGGGAAGAAGAAAAATCCCAATGTACAAAAATGTTAAAAAATAGTAAGATTTGTCACCAAGGCCATTCATGATTAAAGAATCTTTTAAAGTCAATAGTCTTAACAGTGTAAATATTAACTGTCTTATTTTCAGGTTCATCAGGCTGGTCTAACCTGTGATTATTCAGAACTTCCTCACCATATCAGCACAGAACAAGAAATTGAGTCTCTTGTTCAGAGTGTATATTATTTACTGAAAAACTTACCCAAACCTACACTGGTGACAATTGCAAGGTAAGTTTAGTAAGCTGAAGAATGAGCCCCCAAAGAGTTGGCAGCCTAGTCCCCAGAAGCTGTAAGTGTATTATTTTACATGGCAGAAGAGGCTTTGCAGATATAATCACTTTAAGGATCCCGAGACAGGGAGATTACACTGGGCTGTCTGGGTGGGCCCAGTGGAACCACAGGCATTCAAAGGACGGCATGGAGGTCAGAGCCAGAGAGACAGGAAGATGCTCCACTGCTTGCTTTGAAGATGGAGGAGGGGGCCATGAGCCCAGAAGCAGGCAGCCTCTAGAAGTGACAGAAGGTAAGGGCACAGCTTTCACCCTAGAGCCTGCAGAAGGAACACAGCCTTGCCAGGACCTTGACTCCAGATCTGTAAGAGAATAAACTTGTTGCAGTAAACCACTAAGTTTGTGGTAATTGTTTATAGCAGAAATAAGAAACTAATACTAATTTTTTACCCACTCAGGCTGTAATGCAGCTGTTGTATTTTCTTGTTCCTGTTAGTGATGGTGGACAAACAACGTACAGTTACTGTTACTTTATCTTTGAAGCTGGCAGTGGTGTTCAGATGAGCCCAGGGATTCACATGTCTGTGTTCCACAAATGAGGACTTAGCTGCTGCCGTCTTTATATTTGAACATATTAGTGTGCTGAATAGCAATAGCAGTTTAATAAAGCTACCTTTCTTTCCTATGTTAATCTTTAATTTTTTCCTGGTTTTGTATAGAACTGAGGTTCTCTGGTGGCATAGTGCCTAAGGCATTTGACTGCTAACCAGAAGGCTGGCAGTTCAAACCCACCAGCCACTCCTCGAAAGAAAGATTGGGCAATCTACTTCCATAGAGATACCACCTCAAAAACCCAAGGAGGGGTCGCTGTGAGTCAAATCGACTCGACAGCAGTGAGTTTGGTATGGTTTTTAGGTTCTAAAACAGGTACTTTAAATACTTAGGCCAATAATAAGAATGTTAATGTAGTTCAGTACATTCAATGTAAGAACTATTTCTTAAAGCACAAGCACATTAAATTCTTTTCATCATTGTTTTGGTTCACTGGTGCTGCTCTAACAGGATTACCACAAATGGGTGGCTTTAACAAACAGGGATTTATTCTCTTAAAGTTTTAGAGGCTAGAAGTCCAAATTCAAAGTGCCAGCTCTCGGGGGCTGAATGAAGGCTTCTAGAGCCTGGGCTTCAGCTCTGCCTCTTGCTCCTGGCCCACCGGAGCTGGAAGCAGCTCTTAACTCAGGCAGCTTGCTGCTAGCTGCTGAGGCTGTCCAACCCAAGGTCGACAAATAAAATGGCACAGCCCCAAGAACCAAACAACTCATCAGGCCACTACTTCAAGTTCAGGAACATTTCCAAGATTGGCAGGAAACCTGGCAAGCTGCTGAATGAAGACTTGGCTACATGCAGGGTCCAAGCATGCCAAAAAGCTAGAGATCTTCCTCAAAGCTTCTTATGTACTGGAAGCAGACCACATCCCTAAGGCAGCTACTTAGCTGCTCCAGTAGATTTCACCATGGAGCTGATTGCCAGTCATGGGTAATTATTCCATGGGCATAACTATACCCAGCTACTCAAAACCAGGCCCAGCCAAGTTGACACACAGCTTAACTACCACATTATTGTATATGATTTTATATAATCATTGTGTGTGTATGTGTGTGTAAGAAGGCACACTGTGTTTGAATCCTGTCACCAGAGCTTGCTCACTAGCTGTGTGACCTCAGATAAGTTACTTCACCTTTCTCTGTTTCTTACTCCTTTAAAGGGACAGTGATTGCATGCATAAAGTTGAATTATATTAGAAACGTAATTCATGTGGAGCACTTGGCACAGGGTAAAAATCTAGTCACATTCCCACTGTTATTATAATTGCAAAATTCAGCATACCTTCATTCCTACTCCTTTACACTGAAATCAGCACACGCAGGCTTTTTGTCACTGCAGAGTGTGGTTTCATCTTATTTATGTGTGTTTCTCCTCGTTCTCTCCTTGGTTCCAGGTCAAGCCTAGATGATTATTGCCCTTCTGAGCAAGTTGACACCATTCAAGAGAAGGTCCTCGCTGTGCTGCGCACTCTCTATGGGACTCTAGACGTTCACCTGGCTTACTCGGCAGATTCGTCTCCATCTTGAGACAAAACAGAACACTAAGCCCCTGTTCCATCTTGGTGATGTACTAGGGCTTTCCCTAACTTAATTGTAAATGACTCTTCCAAAAGATACTCTGTTTTTGTATTAACTTTTAGTTCAAATCTTTCACGTATTTTAAATCTCCAAACAAATGTCATCAGTTGTTGAATGATAGCAAATTTTTCCCATCAAGTCTCCCCCCAGTTGATGGATCTGTTCTCTTTCTTCCTTTCCATCATTGTCATCTTCATTTTTGTGAGAGGCTTTTCCCCCTAGTGTGATTGGACTATATGAGATTCATTCATTCATTTAACCAACTGATACTGACACTTACTAAGTGCCAGACGTTATTTAAGTGCTAGGTATATGCTAATGAACAGAATAGACAAGGCCATGTCCTCACGGGGGAGACAAAGGAGAAAATGATTATGCATTGTGGGAAGTGTTAGGAAGGAAGGGACAACCACAGGTTGTCAAAGGCATACTCTTAGTACTCAGGGAACCCTGGCCTGATAGGAAAGGAACATTTGCTAAAGCTTCTACCAAAAAAACAAACAAAAACTTGGCCAGTCCATGAAAATGTTGCAGTAAGTCTACCTTCCAAGATTGTCGGGCACTGACTATCTTTGTGGTCCCTAAGTGCCATTTCATTGGCAGTCTAGGTTGATTTTTTTCTTTTCTCAAACAAACCAGCTTTTTATATTAATAGTAGGAGAAATGGTTAAATCTTTGCCATAAATACCCAAGGACATAACTGTCTTCCACCAGCATCTCCATGACTACCAAACCAAAAAACCAAACCCACTGCCATTGAGTTGATCCTGACTCACAGCAAGCCTATAAGACAGAGTAGAACTGCCCCATAGGGCTTCCGAGGCTATAAATCTTTACGAAAGCGGACTGCCTCATCTTTCTCCTGTAGAGCAGCTGGTGGGTTCCAACCACCAACCTTTTGGTTGTCAGCCAAATGCTTTAACCGCTGCACAACCAGAACTCCTATGACTGTTGTTGTTCTTGTTATGTGCCGTGGAGTCGGGCCCGACTCGTAGCGACCCCTCCTTGGGTTTCCAAGGCAGGATCACTACAGAAGTAGATTGCCCAACCTTACTTCTGAGGAGTGGCTGGAGGATTTGAACCGCCAGCGTTCTGGTTAGCAGTCAAGTGCCTTAGGCACTATGCTACCAGAGTTCCCCTCCTATGACTGTTGTTGTTGTTATGTGCCGTCGAGTCGGCCCCGACTCATAGCGACCCCTCCTTGGGTTTCCGAGGCAGTATCACTACGGAAGTAGGATTGCCCAACCTTCCGTCCGAGGAGTGGCTGGTGGGTTTGAACCCCCAGCCTTCTGGTTAGCAGTCAAGTGCCTTAGGCACTATGCTACCAGAGCTCCTCCTATGACTAAGAGGTACTAATTGATTCACTCTTAATCATAGAACTTTTCATTTTCTCACTTTGCCAAAGTCTTCCTGTATATCTTTTCCTTTAAAGGTAAGATAGCATTTAGAACAAAAAACACCATTCATTTCTTCCATCTTTACCCGGCAGTCCTTGCCTTTGCATGTAGTTTTCACTCTTTGTCCACATGCATCCATGTATAGTTGCATGTAGCTAAAATGACAATGCATTACCCAACTTTGTGGCTAAAACCCAAGGACTCATTACTGTTGCCATTCAGTAGATGGCAGCAGAACCCTTTTTTCCAGTGATTCAGTTTTCCACAGCTTTTTCCTGCCCCTGAGGTGGTTTCTCACAGCTGACAGTGTGAATGCTTATTTCTGTTGTGAAGAGCAAAGCAAACTGACTTAGCTTCCCATCTTGATAGACCATTACGTGCCAGCGAGCTTTATCTTCTCTCAAAAATCCAAAATCACAAAGTAAGAGGTATTTATTTTTTAGTTTTGAAAATATTTTGTTATAGAGTTCTGTAAGTTGAAGTTACTTTTGTGAGTAAATTATTTTGAGTGCTAAAAGAAATAAAAAGGTATGTTTTGAAGTTTAAAGAGTTGAAATCAAACTCTAGCCACTGGTTAATGGGTGTGATTGCATTGTGTTGATGGCATTGATTTTGAGTCTGGTTTACTCGTGATTTACTGTGTATGATTCCCATGAAATCTCATGTGATTCTCCACTGGTTTACCTCACATGAAATGACAGGCAGCCATTTCCTCTAGCAGATCACTCAGATTGTTTCGTTTTCTTGCTCTGCAATTCTCTCTCTGAAGAATACAATTCACTCCCTACTCATTGAATAAAACCAGCATAGTCAGTTAAATCACTGAACATTTCAAATAAGAAGACATTTACTTTAACAAGACCCCCTTCATTTGTGCTCTGAGTACCAATAAGGCTATACCATAGTACCAAACCAAAAAAACCAAACTCACTGCCACGGAGTCAGATCTGACTCACAGCGACCCCTCCTTGGGTTTCCGAGGCAGTATCTCTGCGGAAGTAGATTGCCCCATCTTCCTTCTGAGGAATGGCTGATGGGTTTGAACCGCCAGCCTTCTGGTTAGCAATCAGGTGCTTTAGGCACTACGCTACCAGAGCTCCCATACCGGTGTACAATATTTGCAATATGTACGGAACTGTGGAAGCGTGGAATTTTGAACAATGTTTTGAAAAATGTGACTTAACTGTAAGCATGAGCCATACCTTTGCCACTTAACAAGTACCTATTTCCTGGTACCTAGAGAAAAGAAGTGTTTTTAAGTTCAGCCTTTGAAAATACCCCTTTGACAGATGATTTTATATCTCTTAAGAAACATTTTCTATACACATCTATCTTTTTTTATGTTCTAAGCTTTCAAGGAGCTCCCAGCCAATGTCCTTCAGTCTTTCTGTGATATTTTCTCCACATCTTCACTTGCATTTAGCAGTGATAGCCCTGGATTACTTGCTGTAAGTGCTTCATAATACCAAAAGTGTACAATCAGTAGTATGGTTTTAATACAAGATTATGTCTCTCACTTCTATCTTAAGAGAAAGCACTTTCCTGAAACTTAAGCAGTTTTTGTTGAACATCTTTCAGAAACGCTTGAGATATATTCCTGCCCTCTCGCAGTGGACTGACTGACGCTTTACTACAAATGCTCGGTGCTGTGCTGTGCCGTACTGCCTCAGCACCTGCAGTTGGACACTGCTGCTGTAGTGTTTGTTTCTGAACTAATTGGTCCTGGACTACCTCGGTGCTTTTGTAGTTCTGCCTGCCCTCCTAGAATTCCAGACACCACACCTCCTGTGCCTTTATTCTCATTTGGGATTCACCAAATGCGGTTACGATGAAGGAGAAACCGGTCAACCTTGATTCTCTGAAGAAAGTTCTCTGAACAGTGAACTGTGTGGTCACTCACTAGAAAGGTGTACCTTACCATTGCAAACTAGTAAGTTGCCATTCTGTACACTGGTATCTTGTGAGTTTGTTTCCTGCGATTCAGTAACGGGCCACATTTCAGAGGCTGAGACAAGGCTGAACAATTTCACTTCCATAGTAGACCTCCCATAAGTCATCCAGCCTCCAACTGCAGTGTCCCTGTTATGCATCAGTCTCTAACTTCAAGACATCCCTCAACAGCACCTGAGCAGACCTCTGTAGGCTACTGGGCAGCCACCAGCACTGCTCAGGAGAAGCCACAGGACCTCAGCTGATGCCAGTCATGCCAACACGCAGAACGAAAACAACTTTCAGACTGCAATGCAGTGAAGCATGGGGCTGAGCTCCAGTGCGTGACCTCTGTAAGCCTCAGCTCCCTTTTTTACAATAAGTACTTATGAGGATAGTGTGAGGAATAACGCACGTGAAACCTGTAGCACAGGAATCATTCCATAATATTGGCTGTTGTTTCTAAACTCAGCCCTGCTTAGAATATGCTGTGGTGGCTACGCCACATCTCAGCTGCTCACCCCATGCCTCTCCTCCGAATAACTTTTGAAACCCTATTAAACCAAAACCAGCCCTGTTGCCATCAAGGCAATCCTGACTCATGGCGACCCCAGGTGTTACACAGTAGAACCACTCCATGGTATGTTCTTGGCTCTACTCTTTACAGTAGCAGATGCCCTGGCCTTGCTTCCATAGTGCCAGTGGATGGACTTGAACCACCAACACTTAGGTTAATGTGTTGTTGTTATGTGCCGTCGAGTCGGCCGGCCCTGACTCATAGCAACCCCTCCTTGGGTTTCTGAGGCAGTATCACTACGGAAGTAGATTGCCCACCCTTCCTTCCAAGGAGTGGCTGGTGGGTTTGTACCACCAGCCTGTGGTTAGCAGTCAAGTGCCTTAGGCACTACGCTACCAGAGCTCCCCCTTAGGTTAATAGTCAGGTGCAAACTGTTTGCACCACCCAGGGACCTATTGTTGTTGTTATGTTGTTATGTGCCGTCGAGTCGGCCCCGACTCATAGCGACCCCTCCTTGGGTTTCCGAGGCAGTATCACTATGGAAGTAGGATTGCGCAACCTTCCTTCCGAGGAGTGGCTGGTGGGTGTGAACCGCCAGCCTTCTGGTTAGCAGTCAAGTGCTTTAGCCACTATGCTACCAGAGCTCCAGGGACCTATTAGCTCCCACTATATTTCTGTGAGTAATGGAATTTCAGAGTTAGAAGACTTTATTCAAAGTCTTGGCCTCAGTCCTCCCCAGGGAAAGATCAGTCCTTACCCATAAAGAAAAGAAGTAACAGAGGACTTTGAGCAAAGTTACGCATCATTTATGACTTACCATTCTAATGGTGCAAGCACCCGTTTATTAACAGTTTAAGAATGTCTGTGCATACGCATTCAGGAAGGGTTAGGGACATGCAGGCCTCCCGGCTGCTTTTACCTCTGTGCTTCCCCTTCTCCATGCTTTGTAGATAATTCTTCTTTTTCTTTTTTTAATTGTGACTCAGGTGCAGATTTACTCTCAACAGTTCATGCACATTTGATTTCACAGCCCTGATTATAATTCCCTTGTGGATGATTCTGGGATTGGTGACACTAAATCACTGAAGTAGGCAGTGGTGTGGAAG